TTTTTTTTTCTAAAGGGTTAGGGTTTTTTTTTCTAAAGGGTCTTGTAACTTGACAGCTTTAAGACTTGTGGACTGCAACTCCCAGAATTCTTCCTCTCGCTCTTCATCTTGATGATGTGCAGACAGGCGGGGGGAGGGAGCTGGGACTGGTTCTAAATGGCACTGTAGATTTGTGGAACCTCTTCTACAGAACTGGCAGGAACCCACCCCTGGTGTGCGTCCATTTCAGCACTTGATGCCAAAAAGGTTTACCAACACTGCCATAGGCTCTCTGCATGGGGCTACTGCTTCAGGACAAACTTATTGTTCTTAAAGTAGTTTGTAGCGATACTTTCTTTTATGATTATCTAATGGAAATAATACTTCATAGGCCTACAGTAGGTCTTATTCGAATTGGGTTTACAGGGACAGTACATGGAAAAATGCAGCAATGTAATCTTAAAGGTGTGAAGTCAATGGCCAAGGCAGCCTCCTAAATTTGTTGTCTGTTAAAATTTTCTGGTTGAGGTTGAGTCTTGCAATCCCTCTGCTTTTACCGCCTATGTGCAATCTGTGCACTCTCAAACGTTTGTGCTTTGAGAGGGTAGCATAGAATAGAATTCTTTATTGGCCAAGTGTGATTGAATGGACGCACAAGGAATTTGTGTAAAAGCTCTCAGTGTAGATACAAACAACAAGATGTGCATAGGATATAATGAGCTGACCTTGAAATAGTTTTGTTTCAACAACAAGAGATTAAAAAGCTAACCCTGCGTTAGGAGGTGATCCTAAGTAGGATGGGGACACCAAACAAAAATAGGGGTAAGAATGGCAGTAGCCTGTTGCCCTTTTGGGTTCTAAATCTGATGCTTCTCAGGGTCATGAAATGTGATACTTTTATTTGCATTTTGCTTTGGTTTCCAGCTGCTATTTGTATTGAACATGACTGTGGTGAGGGTGGAGTCAGAAAGCACTGCATCCATATGCATGGATGCCACCTGATGTCCAGAATGTAACCTTTCTCAAGATCTCAGGGGATTGCAAGATATTTCTGGGGGTTCATTCTCACATCCTGCTTGCTGCAGCACAAAGATGTCTGATTGTTTGAGGCATATCCTAACAGCATTACTTCCTTCTCATCTCCAGCCCACAATTGAGGCAACCCATTCTTAGTTGGAAGAATTGTTTCCTTTCCCAGTGCAAAACTTCTTATGTAATATTGTATTTGCATTTGTTAATTTGTCAAACATGTATAAGATACAGATATAAATATAAACATGGATATATATGAAAAAAATGAATACAAATATATCGGGATAGTAGGACAGGGACATTAGGCACGCTGGTGCGCTTATGCACGCCACCTTTACAGACCTCTTAGGAATGGGGTAAAGTCCATGGGAGACAGTTTAAGGTTGAAGCTGTGGGGGCTTGAGGATGTAACAACAGAGTCAGGTAGAGCATTCCAGGCATTGATCACTCTGTTGCTGAAGTTGTATTTTCTGCAATCAAGTTTGGAATGATTTACCTTGAGCTGTATTGATTATTTGCCCGTGTATTATTGTGGTTGAAGCTTGTAGTATCAGTTGATCCCACAGTCACATCTGAGGCAGGAACATTCCCATCCCTGCCCCATTGTCAGACTTTGGTGATCTTTCCCTAGTCTTACAAAATACAGCAATTTCAAGGGAACAGAGAAGAATGTTTCAATACAGAGGAAATTGTAATCGAAGAAGGCAGCACTGAAATACTAGATGCCACCACGCCAAAGGGATCTGTGCCGTGCTGAGCTGAAGACTTGAAAG